AAGCAAATATATGGAAGGTCTCAAATATGTAAAAGCATTATATTGAAAGAAATGGGACTTGAAAAGGATTATTATAGTGGCGTGTAGGTTGCTTCGCAGCCTCTGAGACCGAGGTAAACTTGGACTCACTAACCGATGTGTCCTAGACATATCATCTTAGTGCCGGTGGTAAGCGGGTTTGTTGTAGCAATACGACTTGCCCGTGAACATCGCACACCCCTACCGGTTGTGGGCGGCGTCTTAGCGCATAGCGTTATGATACGTCGGCTATCTTTCGGATTAGGGTGAGTGTGTTTGGTAGTACTTTTAAGTGCAGCAAGCATACTCAACTTCATGTCTTAGTGCAATAGCGCTATGATACGTGGAGTTTTGGCTACTGACGTCTTAGTACCGTACTACTATGATACGTTAGTGGTATTTTTAGTTAACAACATTATCAAATTTTGTTACCAAAGTCGATAGGGATCATGTGGGTGTGTTGTGAGGGGGCGCCATCCGTATGATAGTTGCATTGATGCTTACTGCTACTTGCAGTATTGTGTCTTGTGATGGATCTGCGGGTGTGCTGCACCTGATTCGATGCATCTTGTGGTTCTGGTCGATGGAGGTATGCGGGTGGTGATGTCTGCTGGGACTGTATGGGGGACCTTGGGATGGTGTAAGCCCGACGATAGTCGTATTGATGCTTGTTGCATTCTGTAGCATTGCGTCTCTACGATGGTTGTTTGGCGGGTCGCTATTCTCAATGGCGCTCTCTGCGTCTTGGTTTGACTCACAACCTAAGTAGCTTTGCCCAAGTCGGGTCCCTTCATTGCGGGGCTGCAGACTGTCTGCCCTCCATGATGTTTTATATAACAATGATTTCTTATATTTACGCGAACACTACACATTGAATAAAACTATTTTTACGGATTTTATCACGTTTAATTTACTTATTTTATATTCCCGACGTTTCGGTTGCTTTCCAGCAACCGTGGTCACGGGGGACTGAGGTGATTGACGTCCCGATGTCAAAGTTAACCCGAAGTACCTTCAGCTTTTTAATTATTAATTTTGGTCCGATCTACGCAGAATGAACTAACTGTGTCTTGAAGTCTTACAGTGGTATGCTTGGGTTTAGTTTTAATTTTATGAATTACAGGATCCCAAGCAGGTGGTAGTACCCAGCCTCCCTCTCTATTGAAATTAGGATGTTTTTTAATTTCAATAGCCTCACGTATCATCCTTGGCAGGAATCGATGTTCTTTCGCGAGGACTTGTGGTTTATCAAATCTAATGTTATGACGGGGGCCGTCTAGGATATGATCACAAACTGCAGACTTCCCAGAACGTTGGTGCTTCACGTCAGCTATGTGTTCTTTTACGCGGGTTTTTATTGATCGTTTTGTTTGCCCTATATATGAGAGACCACACTCACAATCAAGCTTGTATACTCCTGCATCTTGTAGAGGAATGTTGCACTTGACGGATGGTAAGAACTGACTAATCTTCTTCGGCGGCTTGAAGAAAGTTCTAATAGAAGCTCGCTTCAAGATGTAGCCAATCTTGTCTGTGACACCTCTGACATATGGTAGTACAGCAGGCACACGCTCGACTGTGGCCGGCTTCACTCGGTCACTGTGACGTAGGCGCGGAACCCGAAGCTTGTTGTCGTGCAGAACCTGCTTGACGTGCTGAAGCTCGGCGGCCAAGTGTTTGCTGTCACAGATCCCTCGTGCTCTCTGCAACAAAGATTTGCCCACGGTAGCTAACTGTGAAGGGTGATGGTGGGATTCACCGTTTAAGTATCGGTTTGTATGGGTCTTTTTTCTATACACAGTGTGACCTACGGTGTTATTAGGATTTCGAATGACTAACACATCTAGGAAAGCTAAAGAATTATTTGCCTCTAACTCCATAGTAAATTGAATTTTAGAGTTTATGGAATTAAGATGTTCTAAAAATGCAGTTACTTTGTCTGATGGTAAAATTGTGAAAGTATCGTCTACGTACCGCTTGTAGAAACTTGGAGTTACTGGTGCAGTAAGCAGGGCTTTCTCCTCAAAGTCCTCCATGAAAATATCGGCGACAATGGGAGATACCGGTGAGCCTTTAAAATTGAAAAGTACTATCACCACTCAGAGGACATACATATGGCGTTTACACGCATTGACATGCGCGACTTCGGTCGATGTTTGTGCTTACGCACTATCAAGGGGCCAAGTCCTCTTTTACTGGTTCGCCAGTTATTTTGCTGTGGACTACGGTCCAGTTCCCAACTTTGCGTACCCTTCGGGGGGAGCGCATTAAAATGGTTGGCGCTCACCGTGCGCGGCGTGTGTGGGGCCGTGTACCTCCTCCACATTTTTTTTAAAATGTGGGAGAGCGAAGCCCTTGTAACTGGTATTTGATATAAATATTGTGAGCCTTTTCCAAGCGGGAAGGGATTAATTAATAAGGAATTGACTGTTATGAACCAGATACAAGTGGAATAGGGACAATTTATTGTTCTTAACCTTTTTGAGCTCTGTCTTCTTGAACGGGGTTCTCTAGCTTATAAGACTCTACCAACAGCTTTCGATTGCTCTCGTGAATATTCATTCTTCCAAGATACACCTAAAAGAACTAAGTTACTATACAAACACAACGTAAAAAAGGGTCCTAACTAAGACGATCACGCCATAAATTTATTAAACGGCCTATATTTAAACCTTTAGAAAGATCAAGTTATACTGGTCATGTAAATTAGATATATTTATATATCTTACAGATATAGATTCTAAAGAAATACAAGTATAAGTGGATATATAGTAGAAGAGAAAAAAGATGGGGGGGGGGGTTCGTTACAATTTGGTGCCGTGACCAGGATAGAGGTTAAATTTTAAATAGGAGGCCGGTAATATAAAATTATGAGGTAGGCTATATGCCTACAATTTGTTGTCCGTGAAATGGAGAGGTGTCTTGGAGAGTGGTGTTTGCTGGGGGTGGTTGAGAGTCTGGGGGTGGGGCTTAAATATTAAAATGGAGTAATAATATAGGAGGTGTGTGCATAACGGAGCGAAATAATAAAAAGTGAAATAAGTGGAAAGACTCAATTAAACTAAGTGAAGGACACAACAGGTGTAAAAAAAAAAAAAAGTGGAAATAAAAATTAAAATGGCTAAAAATAAGAAAAAATCAACCTCAATTAAGGCTAAGCCTAAAGATGAGATGAAAATGCTTCAGAAATTAATTAAGAATGCAGTGAAAACCTTTGAGGTTAAAATAAAGGATCTTGAGGAAAAATTTATTAACCAAACGAAAGATTACCAAATTAAAATAAATCAAGGAGAGGTGTCCGGGGCGAGCACCTCTCATGTAAATGATCCTAGACAAAATATTGTATATAATGTACATAATGTAACAATAGAAAAGCCGAAATTTGGAAATGGAAATACTCATCCAGTATCATTTTTGGAAGATCACACCAATTATTTAAAGAAAGTTCCATCTAATGGTCTCGAAATTTCGATAGCACAAGAGTGCTTAGTAGGTGAAGCCAAGTATTGGGCTCGCATTAATAATGTGCGTTGGTCAACTTTTGATGATTTTAAAGCTGACTTCCTAAGAGTGTTTTGGGGTGAAGAAGAACAAAATAAAGTAAAGAGATTCCTTGTGCAAAATAAATGGAATAGAAGTACACACCCCACCATGGTTAGTTATTTTCTTTATGTTGTTGAGAAGGCACAAACATTATCATATCCGATACCTGAAAAACAATTAGTAACTGATGTCATCAGACATTATCCTAAAACTGTGCAGCAATTATGGAGAATAGCTAAAATTGAGACAATAATAGACACGACAGCTTTCTTAAGAAACTTAGATGACATCGACAAACAAGATGAAGGTCGTGAACCTTACTATAATGAGAAAAGGAGGAAGTTTAATAATAATACGGAGCAAAAACATAAAGAAATACAACAATCATACAACACATGGCGTAAACCCGAAGAGGGAAAAAAGAAGGTTAATGAAGTACATGAAATACATTTCACTAATGACCAACCTGATGTTACGGCTCCTGAGCCAAATTTAGAGCTGGAGAGGTCGAACTAGTTCCCGATTCGACCCCTTACAATGTAAAAGGGAACAAAGCATTAAATATGTTATTAAAACTGGGTTGGCGACCTGGTCAAACATTGGGTAAAAACAATAGAGGGTTGCGAAAACCTATTACTTTAAAAGCAAATTTTAACAGAGAAGGCCTTGGTTATAACGACAATGTAAATAGCATATTAAACACCTTAAAAGCCAGGTCGGACTTGCCCATAACGGAGTTATTCGTGCAAACCGTCTTCGAGGAAGACGAAGATAAATATCAAAGGGAATTTATAGGGAATATGAGATCTGAAATTAAAGTTTCAATATTTGACAAAGAAATAGACGCGCTCCTCGACACTGGGAGCGATGTTACATGCATTTCAGAAAGTTTATATTTACAAATTAAGGATAATAATCGTAAAATATCAATAATGCCAGTTAAAGCAATGCAAATAAAAGGTGCTGTTGGGCAGCGCAGCACAAAAATACAACAGATGATCATATTGCCTATAAAGATAGATGAAGTAGTCTTTGAAACACAAACTTTAATTGTAGGTAATTTAATAAGACCTTTAATATTAGGCTTTGACTGGCTCAAGAGAAATAAAATATTGATTGATTTGAGAAATACTACTGTTGGAATAGAATTTAAAGTGAAAAACAAAGACTACTTTATACCTTTCAAATATAATAATAAATCTGTATTACATAATAACTGCATCAAACAATGTACCGATGATCCCTTAATAAATATAAAAATAGGATCTACATTGAAGGTCTCTGAAAGGGCAAAACTTAGTAAGGTTTTGGAAAAGCATAAGAATATGTTTTCGAGCAAATTGGGAAGAGCCAATTGCTATGAGCATAAAATTGAAATGATCGATGATGAACCTATAGTTACTAGGTCCTATCCCATTCCATATGCATATAGAGCGAAAATGGAAGAAAAGTTAAATGAAATGGAACAAGCTGGTATCATCACAAGGACATCAACGCCTTACAGTAGTCCATTGACATTCACTCTTAAAAAAGACGGCTCAATTAGAGTTCTGCTTGATGCCAGAAGCATAAATAAGAAAATGGTTGCAGAAACAGAGAAACCACCTATACAATTAGATGTTTTGAATTCATTTCACGGAGCGAATTATATCACTACCATTGACTTAAATAATGCATATTTTCAAATTCCGATAAATAAAGATGGTAGAAAATATACTGGATTCACATTCAATGGAAAGTCATATGTATATAATGTTTTGCCGCAAGGATTAAAAACATCAGTAGGAAGCTTTAGCAGAGCCATGAATTTAATATTAGGACCAGAAGTCCAAGAATTTTGTGTGAACTATTTAGATGATCTAGCCATTTTTACAACAGGAACGTTAGATAAACATTTGGAGCACATTGATACTGTTTTAAGTAAATTGAACAAAGCTGGCTTAACGTGTAACTTGCAGAAATGTGAATTTATTTGTAAAGAAATTAAAATGCTGGGTTTTATAATTTCAACAGAAGGCATAAAGACAGATCCCGATAAGATTCGAGCGATCCAAGAGTTTCCAGCACCTTAAAAGATTAAACAATTAAGGGCCTTTTTAGGTCTATGCAATTTTTATAGAAGGTTTATACCAAATTACAGCGAGAGCATAATACCGCTCTGTGAATTACTTAAAAAGGGACGGAAGTTCCAATGGAGTGGTAAAGAACAGAAGGCATTTGATGTTATAAAACGACAATTTATTAATACAATACAATTGCATCATCCAGACTTTAATAAGCCGTATTATTTACAAGCAGATTGTTCCGGTGTGGGTATGGCCGGAGTACTATATCAGATAGATGATAATAATAAAATGAGAATTTTAGGCTATCATAGTAAAGCCTTAAAAGGCCCCGAATTAAATTGGTCTGTTACTGAACAAGAGTTTTATGCTGTAATAAGCTGCCTAAAGAAATTTGAAACATATTTGAGGGGCAGTAAAGTAATAATACTAACTGATCATAAAGCATTATTGTTTATTAATAATATGAAGTTATTCAATGGTAGAGTAACCCGATGGATTTTGTATATAGAACAATTTAATTATGAAGTACAGCATATATCGGGTAGACGTAATATTGTTGCAGATGTGCTATCACGTTATCCTCCTGATGGCGATTTAATACAAGAGGATAAAAATAATAATTTAGAAATTGCTTACACAGAGAGCGAACCGAATATTGAGTTGATAGAAAAATTAAAATCCTTAACAGTATATCAATTACAAGATTCAGAGTCGTTAGCTATTATTGAAAGTTAAAGACATTAAATACTTCCATAATAAAACAAAACAATAAATTAAAAAGATATAGTTTGAAAAATGATGTATTATATTACAAAACGAATTTACAAGAAGTAATATATTTACCTAAAGCATTGAGACAAGATATTATAATTCAAGTGCATGTCGAAATGGGTCATCAAGGACCCTATAAGGTAATTAAATATGTGAGAGACAGATTCTTTTGGAAAGGTTTAACAAAAGATATTAAAAACCAATTAAGGGCTTGTCATTTATGTCAGTTATCTAAGAAAAGCAATATAACATATGTGGGTCCCTGCAAATCTATAATAACAGAAAACATTGGCGATATAGTCATGGCAGACTTATATGGACCGCTTGTATCAGGTACCTTTGGGTACACTTTCATATTTGTCATTCAAGATTCATTCAGTAAATTTATCAAATTATATCCTTTAAAACAGTCAACAGCAAAGTCTGTTGTAACAAAAGTAAAGCATTTTGTTGAGATTATAAAGCCCAAGGCAATAATGACAGATAATGGAAAACAGTTCGTAAGTAATCACTGGAAACAATCAATGAGTGAATTAAATATAAAGCCAAACAGTTAGAAATCCTAGACCAAATACAACGGAGCGAGTAAATAAAGAGTTGAACAGATTATTTAGGACGCTTTGTCATACTAACCACAAAGATTGGGCGTTAATATTGCCGAAATTAGAAGAATTGTATAATAATTCTTATCACAATAGTACAGGCTTCACGCCTTGTGAGATTCTTTATGGTGAGTCTAATGAGATGTCTTTTGACAAAGTAATTTCTAAAAGTAAAGACAAACATAATGTCGAACAAATTAGACAACAAGTGCGTAAAAATTTAAAAGAGGCAAGTCGAATAAGAAACACAAAATTTGATAAGCGAAATAGATTAATAAAATATAATATTGGTGACTTAGTAAAAATTTCAAGATCTAGTAGATCAGACGCTGATAATAAAGTTATGAGTAAGTTCAATTTGGCATATGAAGGACCTTATGTAATAGCAGCCGTACCATTTGACAATGTATATACCTTAGCAAATCCAGAGACAAACGAAATTAGAGGAATTTTCAATGCTATTCACTTATTAAAATATTTTAAATAATAATTTCTTTTTGTATAAATTAGAGTAATTAAATAAATATTGTAACATAAAAGGGTTTTGTGGGTGGCCCATGGAAATAATTGTTTAAGTTAAAGGTCTAAAATTATTAAAGTTATGAGCAAGAGATTTGTTATATGATAGTAGAACGTTATTAATATATAATGAAGAGTTGTAAATATAGATCGCAAGATAATTTTGTAATCATTTTTATTAAATAAATATGGGAGTTGGGTCAGGGCGAATGGCTCAAACACATTTATCCTATGTGGTATCGAACTGACCTCAACAAATATCCAACTGAATTGTATGCACATAAAGTGTGACACTATCGAAATAATGTTTCAAAGATTTAAAGATAAATTAATAAAATAAGAAATCGACAATTGACTGCAAACTTTATTAACAACACGATATACAATAACTTGAATTATGGTGTTATCACATTGTGATAATTGTGGTTGAAGGGGTGTTGGTGGCGGCCATTCTCTGGGGCAGGGGGATTTGATAACATATGCCGTATAGTAACAGATTAAAAGAGGAAAGAACAGATATATCAACAATTATTTGAGTGTAGTGAATATGCTCTCAAAATACTAAAATTTTATATTAACGACTCCACTATGTGGATAATTAACATAAAATTTGGGGGTGGATTGTGACGCCTCATAATTATTATTAATAAATAATAATTAAATTCATTATACAGACATTTAAAAATGTCATAGAAATTATAATTTAAACAATAAAATGCAAATAATAAGCATAGAGTTCAAAAATATCCATTTGGAATATTGAATATTATATATATTAGTAAACGCATAAAATGTCTCAAAAAATCTCTAAATTTATTAAAAACCTGTTTAAAATGTTCAAAATATATCAAATCATATAAATACAAGGCGATTATATTGCAATAACAAAGATAAATAACATTTGTAATATAATAGAAAAAATGGATTAAAGTTTTCTAAGTTGATGAAGGTGTTCGTGTAATAATTGGAAAATTTCTAAGTTAATGAACGTGTTCTTGTAATGTTCCCTTATATTGGGGCGTTGTCGGAGACACATACCCAAGGTTGTACATATATATGGGGTGGTCGGCTGACCGACTGCTAGTACTAAGGTTGCACAATGACTAGTCCTATATTAGGGACTTAACATAGTAAGGTCTGACGAACCAAAGCATTAATATAGAAGGTCTCTATGATGCATAAGCATTATGATAGCAGAGTTATGACTTGAAGTCCCATATGAATAAGACATACAGTAGTATGGTCTATGAAATAAAGCAAATATATGGAAGGTCTCAAATATGTAAAAGCATTATATTGAAAGAAATGGGACTTGAAAAGGATTATTATAGTGGCGTGTAGGTTGCTTCGCAGCCTCTGAGACCGAGGTAAACTTGGACTCACTAACCGATGTGTCCTAGACATATCATCTTAGTGCCGGTGGTAAGCGGGTTTGTTGTAGCAATACGACTTGCCCGTGAACATCGCACACCCCTACCGGTTGTGGGCGGCGTCTTAGCGCATAGCGTTATGATACGTCGGCTATCTTTCGGATTAGGGTGAGTGTGTTTGGTAGTACTTTTAAGTGCAGCAAGCATACTCAACTTCATGTCTTAGTGCAATAGCGCTATGATACGTGGAGTTTTGGCTACTGACGTCTTAGTACCGTACTACTATGATACGTTAGTGGTATTTTTAGTTAACAACATTATCAAATTTTGTTACCAAAGTCGATAGGGATCATGTGGGTGTGTTGTGAGGGGGCGCCATCCGTATGATAGTTGCATTGATGCTTACTGCTACTTGCAGTATTGTGTCTTGTGATGGATCTGCGGGTGTGCTGCACCTGATTCGATGCATCTTGTGGTTCTGGTCGATGGAGGTATGCGGGTGGTGATGTCTGCTGGGACTGTATGGGGGACCTTGGGATGTTGTAAGCCCGACGATAGTCGTATTGATGCTTGTTGCATTCTGTAGCATTGCGTCTCTACGATGGTTGTTTGGCGGGTCGCTATTCTCAATGGCGCTCTCTGCGTCTTGGTTTGACTCACAACCTAAGTAGCTTTGCCCAAGTCGGGTCCCTTCATTGCGGGGCTGCAGACTGTCTGCCCTCCATGATGTTTTATATAACAACTTAATAATATATCTCTATAAAGTTCCCACCTTTGAGAGATTGAAGGCAACTTGTTGGTGGGTGAGACAAACATGATCGAAAAATGCATATACTCAACGTCAGAGACACAAACCCTTTCTGATGGCGAATTATTAATATTATCTTATAACTGCCTATTGGCTATATCTGCCATTGTATTGGTTGGTGGAGCATATGTGTTGACCTCATGCGGGTGGTAGCTGGAGGGAGAATCTGAGGAGGCTCTCAAGGCTGCGGCCGAAAGCCGCGCAACGTGGGACCCCATTCCCTTGAGGTGAGCGGTAGACTCATGACACGCTCTGCGGCCAATTGGCCGTGCTGACCATGCAATTGGTGGTGATGCCTTACACTTACATCACGTCTGCAGGAACGGCGGTCTGGCAGGTGGTGGCGCTCACGGAAGGCTTTTTATGGTCAGTGTGCCGATTGTTGCCTAACCCGTGTGACGTACATTTCACTGTGGCTGGATTAAATCGTATTCTGTATGGCGTTTACACGCATTGACATGCGCGACTTCGGTCGATGTTTGTGCTTACGCACTGTAGCGGGTAGATCTCCCGCCGGGAAGGTGTTCTGCCCGGGGAGCGGCCAACGCTCCGATTGGTAGTTCGGAGCTATTCTATATATGCTGCTTTAATTTCGGAACTTTGATAGCGCGATTTAGGCTTCGATGTGTTTCGCTTGTGGCGCGACGACAGCGCCGCCACATCACCCCCCTGCTCAGACCGGAGGTCGATAGTGCAGTCCGATTGCCGGTGCGTCCTTAATGCCGGTCGGGAATGCATGCTGTGTGCGTAAGGGCAAGTGACGCCGGTGCGAATGATATGCCGGTGTGTAATGCATGCCGTACTACGCACTTGCAAGTGATGCCGGTGAGAACGATGAGCCGGAGCAAGTGCCAGGGATTGCCTTGTAGTCTGCGGTGAGTCGCGAAGAAGGCAAGTAATCTGCGAGAGTGCCGTGAAGCAGAGGCGAGCAGTAAG